CTTTAGTATATAGATTGAATGTTCTTTTCCATTATTTAATTAAATTGAATATTCATGAATTTAATAGAATAGTACAAGTAACTAATTAGTTTTAAACATTAATTATTTTTAATAAAACGGCTATATACTCATTTATCATATGAATATAATTAAAATTTTACATTTATTTAAGAAATAAAAATACCATACGTAACTGCTTGTTATCTACCTAATAAAAAATATGCATATCATAAATTTTACAAAATATTTTCTACTGATAAATTGACAGCCCCTTTTATAAAAAGCAGTTGTTTAAAAAAGTAATGCAAGATCGAGTCCACATGGGGACAAATTAAAACGTCTCGCCAAAAATGCAATACGTGTGTTTTAATGGGGTGTCACCGGGGTTCTTAAGTATTCCACCGGCCCACCCCATAATACCCAGTCTCCTTAGTCTGGCACGTCCTCCCCTTGATATATTAGTCCCAGTTCGTCGTACATAATTTTGTAGAGGGTGGTTCCACCCTCTCGCGAGCGTGGCCGATTCTTACAATATGAGGCTTTTGTTTATAACATTGTAATGTGTAAGAATTGTTCACTGTCAGTCATCATATTTATATAACATTAATATGTATTGTATAGTTATTTAAATATAGAAAAAAAAATACGAACATAAAGATGGAGAGACAAACTTATTATCCAACGAAGCCAACACATTTCGTATCATCATTAGACCATATATAATCTAAATGAATGTTATATACGTGAAAGAGAAGTAATCAAAACTGATCGATGGTGGTAATCAAGCACATCTACAGTTAACCTATGAACGCCCGCAACAACGGGGTATCACGTATTTGTTACCAAACCTAAAAGAACCTATTAAGAAGGATCACGTAGTATAAAACTATATAAATAAACCCTTCAGTAAAGAGCTCACTTCTAAACTGAACCTGAATAGAAACTCCTAAACTGTATTGTATAGATGTGATGATTAATTCTTTCGCAATCTCGGTTAATGCAATCATAGAATAATCTATACTTATAATAAATGAATGAATGAATGAGTATATTTTATTCGCATTATACAATATAGGAAATAAGCAAGGCAATTTACAAACAACGATACAATTGTATAAGTACAGTAAGGCGGTCTTATTGCTGAGAGCAATCTTTTCAAGACAACCTTAAGGTAATGGACTAATTGTTGTACAAGTAGGTATGATAGTGCTGCATAATTAAAAAAGCATCTTTTGAGAAATCTGTACAGAGGTCAATTCTGTACATGAAATATATTTCCAAAATAACTATCAGGGAGTGATTAGTGATCTATACTGATGTCAAAAATGTTATCAGTAAAATTGTTGTGTCTGTCTGTGTGTTCGTTATAGAAACAAAAACTACTCGACGGATTTTAACGAAACTTGGTACAATTATTCTTCATACTCCTGGGCATACATATAGTATACCTTTCATCACGCTACGATCAATAGGAGCAGAGTAGTGAAGGGAAATGTTGGGAAAACGGGAGAAGTTACTCCATTTTTAAGGTTCTGTTGCGTGTGCAGCCTTAATGGCCACATTTTAAAATTAAAAAATGTCCACCCGTGCGACGTCGGGACGGGCCGCTAGTGTAAATAAACTCTTTTAGCATTCGGTTGATGAATGATTAACTCTATATATATTGACTCTGAAATTCCCTCCCAAATTATACCAGAATGGCGCAAACTGTTCATACCTTCAGAACTTAAACAAAATAATATTATATTATTATAAATGTATAATAGTTATTCAATGTTTATATATATTTAGCTATATTTATATACGTGTTTATGTGTATATGTATACATTAATATGTATATATGTATAAATTTGTTTACTCTGTTACTAACTAGGTATATATGTAGCTACTAATAATTTAATATTAATTATATTATTTTTGCACCATATACGTTATGCTTTGTATACCCTATAGACATTTTTTCCTATCGGGTTCTCAAGGTTGACTGGAAGAAATCCCTTTAAGGGATATGTCCGCCTGTGTACATTTTTGTTATAACCTAATATCTATACTATAAATGAATGTACATAAGCATATTAATAAATAAATTTACCTATAAATATAGGCGTTAGCCATGTGGTCTGGCATAAAATATATCACCACTTCTTTTTCTGTAGGTGTCGTAAGAGATGACTAAAACAATTAGATGGTAAAGGGACGGGCAGCAGCGTGCGTATTAAAACCGTCCGCCAAGCGTGGCAACTACTTGCTAAACTCTCCTTATGAGAAAGACTTATTATGTGTAACAGTGGACAGTTAACGGCTGAAATGATAATGATGATAAGTGTTAACCAAAGAGCAAATTGTTATAATTTTCCGCCCATATTTGTCGAATAATAAAATAAAAAATATAAACATGATATTTGCATTACTGTTATTAGGAGATACTGTTATAATTTGCAGAATTGAACATAAGCATTTTACTTCTCATAACAACATGCATATTATCCGTTCGCTGTTCATTAAAAAGTATTGATAATGTATGCGATTTTTATAGCTTATAAATAATGATCTTTCGAATACCGTGCTACCCAAATGATAAATGTATCATGATTAATTCAATAAATCGCGAGAATGTAATTACGCAATTAAATTGGATCTTTTGTTATTTATTGTTTTAGATAACAAAAGGGGACATTGTATGTTGTCTTTAATTCGGTCGTATCTCTAGTAGATAGACAGTATCTATATACCTATATATTTGGTGTAGTTATAAGGAATTATAATTGTATTTAACTTTAACCGTAAAATGCTGATAAAGAAAGATAACCCATCAGAAAGACTGTTAGAAACTATTAGGGTATTTTTGATGATTATGACCCATCATTGTAATTTTGATACAATTACTATATATTACTATATATTTTCTATTAATATTTACAAGGAGCAACACTAATTTATCGCCGTTTTTTTACTGTTATTTTTATTTTGCGAGAAATGTCCAGTTTCCTTGATGGTTATCTTGGATTATCTTAAAAACCTAAATAGTTATGCACTGTAAGGTATTCTTTGTGAGTGGTATATAAATAATTATTATTTATTCAAATAATTTGGATATCACCCTGTATAAAAGTGAAGTCGGAAAGTGCTGCATTTATCATTATGTTGTTAATATATTAGTAGATACAACCTATAGATGTTAGTATATGTGTGGTAGAATGTCATTAGTTGTACACTGGAGAGCCGTTCATCTCGTGTGGTCGCGTGCTCCTCTATATTGAGTTATATGGGTAACGATCACAGTTCAAATAAACTTTATTGAAATATAGGATGCCATTTCAAAATTGGTACATAAGGGAGACCTGTGAGTTTACCGCGTTAGATTTTTTTTAACAGAACCTGTTAATGTTTAAATTTGGTTTATGCAGTATATATATTTTATAAACTTGTAATTTTATTAAGTATGCACTCTAAAAATAAGTATCAGATTTTTGGTGGATTTTATGTACATTTATATTAGATATCAATATATTCGAATAATTAGATTAATAATGTTTTCAAATGTTTAATATTATTGTCTTTTGCAAAATATCATCATCATTAATAATTCCCATTAATCCTGTTTGAATTCATCATGAAAATGGAGTTTATTCAAATTCCTCAACATTTACGTAACACACTATTTTTATAATAAAAAAGAATAGGTCTACATTTATAATAATTATAGAATTAAAATATACAAATATACGTTTTCGTACAATGTACCTATCTACAAATTTAGAATAAGCTTTTTTTATAATACAATATTCCCCTAGAGAGTTTAATCTTGTTATCTGTAACACATTTTGTCACTACATTATCATCATTATAGCAGCCGTTTACCACTGCTGAACATAGGTCTTCATCTATGGAGGACTTTGCCAGTCGTTGTCAAACTTGGCAGCCGGATTGGCAATTGCAATTAAGCTTTGGTGATATTTTAAGAGGGACGCTCCTACTACTTTCTCGGAAATTAAGTTCTCTTAGTCGCCTCTTACGACTCCCACTGGAAAATAAGAAGTGGCCCGTTCTATGCCGGGACCACAAGGCGACTACAGTTTATAATAATTACATTATTTCTTCCTATAGACACTTAACGATTGTTACACAATGAAAAGAATATTCAGTAGGCAATAAAAAAAATAGAACAAGGTGTCTAAATCTGGGAAACGCTATCTGTTTTATCATTAGATACTTTTACAACTCACGTACGTGCCTCGTATTATTTCTCATAATAATATAATACAGTCCATTAGTTAAATTAAGCAAGATTTCTCTCCCTATCTCGGAGAGGTATTTGTCATGTAGGGGCCCGTACTTAGACTGCAATACATTGTGGTTAAGGCATTTAATTTTGTGTTAGACATAAATCTTCATTTTGAGAGTCTACGGGAGTGTCTTGGCGTCTTGTATGTCATACGAGTAAAATTGGCTGTTGAGAAAATATAGTTCTGATTGATTATGGCAATTATCTCGTTACTGTCTCGATGGGTACCTAATATTTATTAATTCTATATGTATTAATTAGTTGGAGAGTTTTATAGTGACAAATATAGTGATGGATTAGGAATAAGTACAATATGAAAAGAACATGAAAATATAATCAGATATGAAAAGGAGTAAGCGCTCTTTTTTTATCCAGGATTTCGCAAGAGGCGAGTAAGGGAACAAAGCAATATACACCATTGCTAGAGAAGGAAAACTCGAATTAAATCCCATAATAAATCACCTGGACTGTGTGGTAATATCCTCCTTTTGTGAGAAGAGACCCGTGTCCAAAAGTGGACGCCAATGGGCTGTTATGGAATAGTATGGAGAGTTTTGTACTTTTGTATTATTTGGCAGGATAACCTAGATACCCAGCGCGTGTTTTATTAGTTTTATAGTTTCGATCAATAGATGCGAGATCTGACAAAGGAAACATAATATCTTAGTGCTCAGAAACGACGCATAATAATGATGAAAATATTTTTTACAACAGGCAATTCAAAAACAGTTTGAAAGGGCTTGCTACGTCGGTTCAGGCATGTGGAACAAATGTCAGATTAACAGACACTACAATGCGAAAGTAGGACAATGCAAGTATCTACTGAGGAAGCCTCCGCTGGCCTGTAATGATAAGAGAAATGGTGTACTACTATCTATGTGAAGGAAATATCAAGTTTTCAAGAACCGTACGTAATTCTAATTAATAATTAAAAAATTAATAGAATTATCTACGTGTGCGATGAGTTATGAAAGTATATGAAAAATGAGATGTAAACATAAAGCCTTGTCACAAAATTTTTCCTGTGGGATCTAGTATGAATATTAAATTCACATTTTTTAATTATTTGTTGAATTAAAAAATGTCTTAAAATACTCAATAGTCTATAGTATTGAGTCATTAGAAAACTACAGCGTCCGCATTGTAGATCAACGCGCCCACGCGCTGTCACCGCAAGCCCTGCTATGTTTATGGGGACCCTACTGGCTACAAAATATACCGGTAATAGTAGATGGCATGTAAATCTGTATGTATGTTGTACTGTTCATTGTATCAGTTAATTAACAAATAATAAAATATCTACTTTGAGTGGCTTTAGCCATGTGTGACATTTTAAATATTCTATAAGTATAATAAAGTACGTATGTTGTTACAGGATATGTCGATGAAATTGATACAATAACCATACAAGAACAAAGAATTCAGATTGAAGTCAACTATATTATGTATCCAAGAAATATAATTCATGTTAAGTTCATAAATTCAACCATATGTGGCTATTGAAATTGTGATGTTTGAGTAAGTGTATTTTTAGTCTTTATGTAACAGGTAAGTGGTTATATAAAGAAAAATTATATAAAAGACAAAGATATTGACAAAAACTATTTTTAAGCCATTGCTATGACGATGAGGCAATAAATTAGTCTGTGTGTTTGTGGATGTGTTACACAATTACATTAACAATTCTAAAACAACTTTAGAATTTTTTTTTAATCGATAACATTTGCTCTCTTGTTAGTCCCATATTAAATTTATGTGAATTGAAACTACAGTTTTTTTTTCTTTGCTGAACAAAAAACTGCTTATTGTTAAGCAAAATCTATTTGTAGACACATACACACACTATTGCGCATTCCGAATTCCAATTTTTATTAATTATATATGTAAATGGAACTTCTCGTCATTTATCAGTGTATTTCGTCACCATTTTTTTTTATTGCTAAGAAACATGAGTTTGTAAACTTTATCTTATATCATTGTTCAATACTTTGAACAGTGGTTCTCAAAGTTCATTAGCCACAAAACAAACACTACTACACTACTATGTAGCTAGCTATATGGAGGCCTGAAACATTTTGTGGCGAGCATACCTGCATAAACCATTCAAGCATCCGATTAAATTACTTAACGTCTTCATTCCCCGTGGTGTACGCAGGTTGCATGCAGGCACGCGGATGTTGAGATACATGTATTTAAAATGTACATAGCCTTATGCAGGTTATACCTACTTATACCTAGTTTGAAGTAATTTAAATTAAAAATTAATATTTGTGTATGCAATTTTTACTTTTCGTTTTTGATGTTATTCTTTTGTTTTCCCTGTTTTTTATACTTGTGCTTGTACTATATATCTAAAAACGTATCTTCTATTTACCAGTTTCATACTCATAGTATTCGATATAATTATTTTTAATTAAAATCACATTAAAATACGTATAAGTAAATACAAGCTGAATAAAATTATTACCTATACATAAAAAGATAAATAAGAGAAATAAATATTTGGTATGAAAAGGTTTTATATTAGGCATAATATAGGTATACACCTTTTTATTAATCTTTCTCTAAACGGTTCAGATCAAAATACGAGAATTCATAATTCTCATGCTTTAACAACATTTAAAAGGTAATAAATAAAGAACATTGACTATGTTTTTTTTATTGCGAAATAATATCTAAGTATTAGACGTATACTGTCATAAATCATAGAATCGATGTTTATATTTGCTATTTAAGTCTTGAATAAGCTTAATTTATCATCATTATCGAAGCTACGATAAAACAACGCGATATCTGAAAGCTAAAATTTATAATCCGACCAAAAATCAGATAAGGGCACGGAAACTATGAAATATCCTCTTAGGAATTTAAGACGGTGTCACACCAATAAAGCATATCCTCGCAGTATATTTAAGGCGGCTTTAACTGTAGTATATTATTTAATATTAAAGATCTTAAGGTAAACGGGCGGAGTGCCTGCATTTCTGCGATAAGGCTCCGCCGCCCCTCCCTACGCTTTTTGGGGGTGGAAGCGTCTAAGAGGCGGCCATACTTCAAATTGCGTTTTACTTAGATAGCTAGTTTGATACATTGCCCCCCATTATATTGCATATCAAAGGGCTTTGATAAAAATTCGTGTGTAGTAAAAGTACAGATTTTGAACGACCCATTTCGTTATTACTCACAAGATAAAATGGTGGAATTATGGTCGCCAATTCTACAGCGTCAATGGATTTACCTGTAACAAATTTATGTTAATAAATAATAATTTTAATAATAATAACGAAGAAAACAAATACATAAGAACAGGTACAAGTGACGATCCGAAGTCAGAAAATATTAATCCTAATATTATAAATGCAAAAATGAGTTTGTTGGTTTATTACGCTTTCACGCCTAAACCGCTTAATCATTTATGATGAATATTGGTATAAAGGTAGATGTAGTCCTGGTGACAGTTATATGAATGAGGTTTTCAAGTTTTCCTTCCGAAAAACTTATCAGGTGTAGAGTGAGGAAGGGGTAATTTTTGTATGAAACTTTTTATTCCATCGTCCGATTTGCTTCAAACTTTGCAGAATTATTGTTTATAATTCATAATGTACACATATTTATTTTTCAAAATATTTCTTAAAAAGATTTCCTTTTGTAACTATTTCATCTCTACCTATACTGACAACCAGAATTGTTATACAAAATCAGTAATAACGCGAGCGAAGCCATGGGTAAGCTAGTAAAAAATAAAATAAAATTGTATTTACTTAACAATGAAAAAAATGTACTAATGTTCTTCCACGAATAAAAAAAATATATAAAAATAAAATATCAAACTTCAAATGCTTGATTCTAAATAAAATATCATTACAATATCTCTGTGTATGTATATACCATCACACATACAAAGCACTATCACATAGTATACACACACGTGAACAGTGTACGGAACGAATTGCAAACGTAGCTCTACATCACGGCACGTAGACACAAACACGGTGCAGGCAGCCGATATAATAACGAATCGATGCTATTCGATATCGTATCGATGCTACCTATAGATACGATTGTCAGACTAGATAGAATTCAATGTACGTTCGAGCTTCCTTCGATCGGAAAGATTATTCGGAATAATATCTTGTGAAGTGAATTCGTTTATAGTCACATAGTTCTTGATAAAATAGATTTTTGCCTATTCAAAATAAAAAATATTTCATGATTAAAAGGTATCTATGTATTTTCATCTAGGGATAAAATGTTTTGAGTACATTTTGTTACATCATTAATAACCACTATCATACCGATATATATCATGCGCTGATTGAAATGTAAAAGCACAAGAAAAAAGATTATCATATCTTAAATAAGTACCTTTAGGTACGTATGTACCTACATGTATATAACATTATTTCTATTATTCATAAAAAAATCAAAGCTCTCATAAACCTATTTTAACTATTGAACTTTATTGTCTATTTTTGTTGTGCTAAATTCCCAATTTTTAAGAAAGTGATAAAATAATGTAATAGTTAAAATAGGTTTCTAGAAGATATTAATTTTCATGAATAAGTGGATATTTATACAACATTATTTGTCAAATAATTTGCCATCTGAAAGTAGATAACGTTTGCATAGCAAAACAACACCATAAACATCCCAGAAAACAGCACATCATGCGTTGCCATTCCTGAGGACTAACATATTATGCTCCCGTACCCTCTAATTTCACTGCCATTATCCACCCTTCAAGTGCTGCTATATAAGACTGTGTTAATAAACACACCCAAGTATGGCACAGCTTTTTGACGGTAAAAACAAACTGCGACAAAGATATCCATGAGAAAAACTTTCATACACTCTAGTATTATATAATAATATCTATAGTTTTACAACTCTATTACATTATAATTATTGGATCCATATTTGTTTATTATGTAATATTATGTATGAACATTATTTTACAATGATGTTACAAACAATAACAACTTAAAATAGCCTGTGGCAATACAGTATCGTTGTAGACAGATTAAACATCGGAGGCCAAACGAACGCGCGATAATTTATCGCACATACCCCCGTGTGTATTAGCTGTATCCGACTAATGCCGGCTTTCGATATTCGGTTCGGTCGCGATTCGATATTTACGACCAAACGAGTCGCATTAGACTGTCCGCTCGTAGGTAAATTAGCACAGATGCTCCACTGTTACAGTGATTCATTCCAAATTGGCTTTTCAACACAGAAAAAACGGTCCGGCAACGGCACTGCGGTAGACGCTATCTAGGAACTGTACCTAAATAGCTTTTAAAACAGTTTGCGTTTTGTTCTCCTTTCCCAGTTTCCAATAGTACTTTATGTGCAGGCAGTATTTTTTGTTAAATAGACTGGTATAGGTAATAAGCTTCGGTGGGGTATCTAAATAAATTTGTTTAAAGAAAATAAATCTTTCAATTTGTTGTTGTTTGTTTACATCGAATTACGTACTTATTAGTATAAGTTTATGTTAATGGAAAGTGCTTATAATATTACCATGCTCGTAAATTCACCGTGCGAAAATAATGCAACAATGTAGAAGCAATAAACAAATCGAATTTGCAATTAAACATGGTGTAATGGTGTAAAGGCGTTACCGAGATCGTTGGTAGCGGCAACGCCTTACGATGACTATCGGCCCTTCCCCGCCTCGACGCGTGCTAGACCACCAGATAAATTATCGTAGTCAGTGAAATTTTATGACTTAAAGAGCGGTAAGTGGTCATTTTAAATTGGACGCGTAATAAATAATCGAAGTCAAGTAGTACGCGTATAGTTGAAGTAGCTTTTTGTACGCAGATATAATGACTGTCGGGATAATGCCGTAGTTTGCTCATTGGAGTATATGTTACTCACGTACTTTTTGATAACGAAGTTTACATACCTATGCCTCAATAGATTTGCTACGGTAGTGAATTGTGACAAGGAAACGAAATTAAAAGAAGAAAAGTTATTTTTGTAGCAGCAATAGAAATACAGCATCAACAGATTAATAGCTAAAACATATTCCGAGACTCGTAAATAAATTTATGAATTTTAAATTACATAAATAAAACGAGAATTTGACAATAATAAATAATAAAAAATTCGGAAACATGTAAATAATCGAAGTACAACACGGATGTAGCTTATTTTTAATGAACTGCAAATGATAGTCCGTGAAATACACAAATGTTGCATTTCCCAATAATGAACTGGGGAAATTACCTTTAGTATAAATAATCCGTGCCAAAGGGTGGCATCGATGCGCTGCTACTGCAAATCAAGCTACCCCCTCCCCCACAACAACACCCCCACCGCGGACTGTCGACTATAAATAAAATTCACGTTTTAACAATAAAATGCATTTTCCGCAAATGCTCCCAGTGAATTATTGTTCGGGTTTTACGAGCTTAAAATTATATGGGCACGTGAAATTTCCGATCTCGATAATGCAAGGCCTGTGGCACAACACTATTTTTCGAAGAGCACAATTTCAATGCACAGTTGTG